GCATGCTCAGTAAATTGATATAACTTTAATTTATTAATTACTATAAAAGTTAATATTATTCTATAAATTTAAATATATAAATTCTATAATTCTATTAGTTTGTCACTTGGGGTTTGAAACTTCTTAAGTATTTATAATATTATCAGAATATTGCGATATTTAAGGTCATGACAAAGAAGCCATTTTTTTTGGCACTTATGTCCAAAGTACATAAGGCCGAAAATCGATCTAGGAAAAATATTGAGAAATTTTTCATGACAATGTGCAATATGGGGTTACCTATTATTTGGCGTATGTGACGTCACTACTAAAAAGGTCTATTTATCTTTGTATGCACTGAGTGTGATAAACTTTTATCGCGGTGGACATGAAAATATTTTTTAATGCTTTATTATTTATATCTAAGACATTTAACCACAAAAATACCCATTTTTGCGGAAAATGTTTATCTGTATTAAATCGTACATATAATTGTTAATATGCGTGAATGCACGTATAGGTACTGCAACGCAATGACGCATTCTATCTTCTGCTTTATAAATTAGTCATACACCAGGAAACATAGATTAAATATAAGTATTAGTTTCACGGAAACAATATGTGATACAAGGGTTACTTGTAAGTTTTTAACATTTCAAAGATTCACAGGTTCAAATTTAGATATTCCTCTTGCTCTTCTAGTAACAATTCCATTGACGTAACTCAAGTTACAGAGTTTTCATAAATGATTACAAGCCACGTGACCAGTACCTAATTTTGTGTGGAGCAGTAATTTTATTTCCTTCACGTTGGTAATTAAATTTCGGTAAAATTAAAATTTTTTAAAACAATGAGATCAAGATTACATCAAATCCCAAAATTTTGTTTCTGGTGATTGGTGTAATATTTCACGAAATTTTATTCAATCAATCAGCGATCGCATTATTTTGAGTGTAGACGAAACGGTTTGTCATTGTTTATTTTAAACAAATCATTAATATTTTTGACTCTAAGATTTAGGGGTTTTTAATTGACAGTAACTAGCTAATGGTTGGTTGCCTAAGTTTGGCTATCACGTAACTTGTAAACATTTATGAAGGCTGTGTATGACTTCTCTAACAACGCTTATATTACGTAAAATAGGGTTTAATTTTACATTCACAGGTTGAGAAAAAGAAGTTCAGACGTTCGATTTAAAATAAAAAAGGCTTGTCGTATCGATATTGATAAAATATATTCGGCAGACAATATGGAATGAAACATGTAATAGGTATATTAATTTTTAACTTATTTTAGTTGTAAAAAATTGTATATCTTATGCTCTCAGATTTACAAAAAAGAATAAAAATAATAAAGAAATCACATTATTAAAAAAGCTATTGAAATCGCCCTAAATCTTGACAATTTTTTTAAACAGTACGCCCCATGGATTGAGTTGAAAAGAGAAGCATTTTGTTCATTTTTCATTTTATGAAGAAAAGTTATTATTAAAAAAGTCTGAGTATGTTCAAATGTCCAAAAAAGTAGTTTTGAGTCGGTCGACATAATATAATTATTGTAACTTGTAGTTAGGATTCGTGTAAAGAATAAGATTATAAATGCCTCATTCGCAAGAAAGTTGTGGAATTTTGCACCTCTAGATGAGACATTTAACGATGTATAGGTACCTAATACTCGAGTGAAGAGATTTTATTAAGGACTAAAAACGTCAATTGTATGATTTATTTAATTTAATCGTAGTTGCCGTGGAAAAACAAATTAAAATTTTGATATGTCTGTTTAACTTACTGCAAATTCTGAAAATGTTATTGATTGTTTCGTAAAGTGGTGTGAACGCAATAATCTTATTATTAATATTAATAAAACAAGAGTTCTATACTTTCGCTCTCTTAGCGTGCCTGATGCTAAGCTGTGCCTACATTTTAATAACTTCATTTTACATTCTTCCGAAAGCACTAAGTTTTTAGGTGTCCTTCTTGATTATCAATTAAAGTGGCATGAACATGTGGATGTTCTCAGTAGGACACTCAATAAATCGTTCTATGCAATTTCTCGTGTTAAGGCGGAAATACACATGCCTCTTGCTTGCACAATAGCATGCAAGTAGCTTGCAGGAGATAGCTCCTGGTATGTGTATTTATTAAAAGGTATGCTTTTAGAAGGCGCGCAAGTAAATTGCACATCATTTGATTTTTTGGCATGTGGGCGGGGGTTTCGGGGGAGTTCAAGTGGCATGTCGGAACGTGTCTACTTGCTACCTACTGATATGCCAATAAGCCATAATACTAAAGAGGCATTCCATTTTACTTGCAAATGTATCAGCAGTGTGCCATCCGCCGGCACATGCCATTTCTTAGCATGCAAGTTACTTACCTATTTTACTGGTATGTGTATTTCCGCCTTTAGCCTTATAGCGCAATTTTAATTCGTTATCATTAGTACATCTGTATATATCATATAATTCTCTTAACATAATCCCCTCATTAATGATTTCCAGTGTCACCCATGGGTTTGTCTTCATATGAGATTTATTCTTATTTTTACACAGTTCCACAGGAAAAGCTTTATCAAATGCATTCAAGATAACCTCATGAAAGAATGAAAATTTTTCATCAAGCGACAAATTTAAATCTAAAAAATCCCATCTGACTTTTGCTATCAAATGCTGGAAGAATGCTATATTTATTGGATTGTTACTAAGTCGCTTAAAATAATAAGAGTCTGGCTTTTGAACAACATTAGATTCAAAAATGGAAAAAGAAACCTGTTGTAAATGATGGTCTGAAATATCACATTTTATATTTTGCGGGTTCAATATATTAATATCCATACTCGAAAAGATATTGTCAATTATTGTCTTCGCCTCACCTACTTCCCTGGTATAGGACCATATTGTTTGTTTCAAATTAAAGGTGGCAAAGATATTGCATAACTTTTTGGCAAAAGGATTTAAATTACAAGGATCAAAATTAAAATTAAAATCTCCACATAAGAAGACCAAGTCAGTTTTTATAGTTTGGTTTAGTAAATCTTCAATATGTAATAGAAATTCACTTGAATTATCTGGAGCAGGGGAGGCAAGTGGAGTTCTGTAGAAACATCCTACCAAAATTGTTTGCTTGTTTTTTAACACAACTTCAGTCAAAGCATACTCAAATGTGANATAATAATAATAATTATTATTATTATTATTATTATTATTATTATTATTATTATAAATGTAAACAAACTATCATTTACTGCGGCAAATAAGTGCTCAGGTGTTTTTTAATATTTGTTTATATTCAATAAGTGAAAAGCTAGACATTTTTACGTTTTATTATATGAAAAAATTGACAATAATTAATGGCACGAAACAAATAAAAATTACATAAATTGTTCAAATTTTCCCTCCTGTGTTCGATGCAAAGAAGTATTCTGCGAGTCATGTCCCTTACTGAATCTTTTCCGGTGGAATTGATTGAAGCATTTCTGTTATTTTAGCTCGCAATTGTTCGACACATTGGACTGGTCTATCATAAATTCCATTCTTTGCAAATCCCCAGAGAAAAAAATTACAAGGGATTTAAACAAGGCGACTTTGGTGGCCAGCGTATTGGACCATTAGTTCCGATCCAGGAATTGTTAAAACGTTCCTTCAAAAAGTTAAATAATTATGGCATTATGAGGACCATTTCCATTTTGCTTGAATTTCTCAAGAGGCAAAATATCTAAAATTTCTTCAAAATTATTTCGTAGAAAGTTTAAATATGATTCACCACTTAAATGTTGTGGAACAAAAGTAAGGACCTCTAGTCGTGGAGAACTGATCGTGGAGAAGGCCATACCAAATATTTACAGAAAACCAAATTTGTGGCCTTACTTCATGCATTAAATGTTGCTTTTCAATAGTGTTAAAGTGCCTATTTTTTCTGAAAAACATTCCAATAGTCGTAAATAAAGTTTCATCATTCCATAGTATCTTAACAGGAAAAGCTGATGGATCTGCCCTCAATTCATCACGAAACCATTCTCAAAATTTCAATCTTCATTATCTTCAGGATACAATGTTTGCACTGGTCGGAATTCAAAATCATGATACTTCCTAAATATTCCTAAAATTTTTTGAACGTGTGACTTAAATAAATTACATTCTAATGTCACTTGTCTGGAATAATTCTAGATTTATGTTAATTTGTGCCAATACGTTAATTTCATTTGCATTTCCAATACGATTTCTTACATTCTTTAAAGTACCATATTCTTGTAATCGTTTGTATAAACGTTGGAAACTATTTAGTTGCCTTCTCTAGGATACATCTCTTCATAATGTTGTGACACAGCCACTGAATTTCTATTACATTGCATGTAAACATTATACATATCCAATTTTCCATTTATTGAATATTGTTTAATTGCAAACAAATAACAAACACATTGAGCACTTATTTACAGCAACAAGTGATAGTTTGTTTACTTTTAAACATAAATGTCAAAATTTTCATTTGTTTCTCATGGCAACTGCGACTAAATTAAATAAATCATAAAATTGACGTTTTTGGTCCTTAATTAAATCTCTTTACCCAAGTATTATACTTTGTTGAAATCGAATCTAGTGGTGCAAAAATCCAATATGACAATACCAAAAATTGATTATGAAAACATAAGGAGCTAGGTCTTTGAACAAAAAGAGCATATGACCTTGATGATCCATATTTCATTACTCTATTTTCAGTAATAATAAAAAAGATGTGGAAGTTTATTGTTTTTTCAGTTTATTTCAGGAATGGTGCAACGTATCTCAAATTTCATTTCATAATCCGAAATACCATAAAAATATGTAACTTTGAAGTAACAGTGATAATGGAACAAGTTCCATTATCGGCTTTATATTTATTGTATTCTCATTTTACAGAAAGAAGAAGCAAAAAATATTACTGGTCAACGATTTTTCTAGTTGTTAATTTTTAATTCTGAACAATTTTCCTTAACATGTGTTGTACACCTGCAAATTGTAATTGATATTTTAATTTTATTTTCAGCTTGTGAAGATATTTCCGCCTTTGCCAAATCCGAAGTTAATTTCCATATTATTGGTGGTACCAACGCCGATAATGCAGAATTTCCTCATATGGTAATATTTTTTCCCTTTAATTTACTCCTCCATACTATACTCCACTGTCGAAATTATAGAGAGTGACTCAGACATAATATAAAAACACTATTACCATAATGCGTATAAAATATAAAATGATTTTTATACGGTTCAATATTATTTATCTTTATGCCGCTCGCTACGCACATTGATAGAATCTATAATCGTCTATAGACTGAGTTACACTGAACGTCGAGCTATATTCTGTTGCACTTGGTAGGGAATAGGGAAATGCTTTTTTAGTGGGTATAAACGGACTTGATTTACCCGTCCTGAGCAACGTCATAGCATAAGCGTAGATGAGGGGTCTAATTCCATGGCTATAATAAATTTATAAATTAAAAAAACACAACTGGGATGTTTTAAAATGCTGTAATAATTAAAATGGATCAAAGTGCCGGTTATAGCAAACCGTAAAAAAATTAGATGTTATATTTTATTATCTTTTTTCAATATTCTCTATATCTTGTTGCCTTTGACGCAGACACGCCAATGGATTTTCGTTCCCGGCACGCTTCATCCCCCTTACTAGTCCAAAAGCTAGCAATGAGTCACTCTCTATAATTTCGACCTCGGAGTATAGTTCATACAAATTACAAAAAATTTAAATATTTAAAGTTATATCGATTTATCATAAAAAAGCTCTGACTACAAAGATTCAGTGTCTCAGATCCAATCGCATTGCTTTGGGAATTGGTAATAAGTTTATTTTACATAGTTTTTCTATTGAAAAGTTATAATTGACCAATAGGAAATAATAATTAACTAATACACTTCTCGTCATTACAATAACATAATAACGCCAAAACACCAAATTACCATAAATAATTAAGACCAGGACGGATCAAACAAATTTTACCTGGATTACCTTCAGTTCAACTCACATAATAAAAGTGTAGATCCCCAGATCTGGGCGAGGTCCGGAACATTTTCAAAATTGCAAAAATGTTTAAAAAATTTAAGTCTTACTTATATCTTGAAACCTATGCTTTTGGAAGAATATTGAAGAGGAAAAAAGTTATAGAATTGAATTTCGCACAATATACTGGAAGTTAAAAATGTTTAAATTTATTACCGATGTTGCAAAATAGCAATAATTGATGGAAAAAAAGGCAAAATAATCAAGTTTTTTTGATAATTTTTTAAAAATATTTTAATTGCTCTGAAGGCATTCTAATTTTGGTAAACAAAAAATTAGAGTACAATAAAGCAACACACCAAATTTCATTAAAATTGGTTGTATAGTTTTCGCAAAATAATTTTTTGAACAAAATTTTGAAAAAAAATTTTCGAATTTTCAAAATGTTGCACAACTTCAAATAAGCATCTAGATACTTGAAACTTCACATAGAAAAGACCGTTCATCCTTTCAAATGGTTTTTGAAAAATTGAAATCGGTTGATTAGGACGGCCACAGTAAATTTTTAAACACTTTTTTTATTTTTAAACCATTAGATTACATTTATCAATTTGCAATTTAGTTTTTTTCAAAAATTATAATTTTAAAGTACTATTTTTTCTTAACTTTATCTGTATTTAACAAAAAAAATAATTTCCAAATAAAAAAGAAATTAATTTGTTTAAACAAAAAATATTTAAATAATTGTAATAATTATAACTAAATATATTCATATTCAGAGTGTTGAAATATATACATAAACAAATTTTTTCATTGAAAAATTGCAATAGCATAGGGTAAAATATACAGTAGGTATATTTAATGCATAAATAATAAACTTTGTTTATAACAAAATATGTGCAAATTAGACAGTTGGCATTATGATATTCGAATTTCTTGGCTCGCGAGACATCGGATTAAAAAAAAGATAGAAATTGGTCCATTAGATGCCGAGATAATGCAATTTTTTCGTACCTTCGCATTTTCACCCTCCGAATTCAATCTCGGAGCGAAAGCCCCCTCCACCACTTTTCGTGATTTGAAACACTTTTCGCGCGTGCCAGTGACGGCTTTACCGATGTTTTATCTACGTTGCCGATAACTTATGGATATGAAAATTTTTTCCAGCTTAGAACTCGGAAAAGCGAAGCCACTGGATCAAAGATTATTGCTAAATTGTTTATAAATTAACGGTAAATGCCGATAAACTTTGACCGCTTATATCTCGAGAACCAATAAACGGAATTTAACTCTTTTTTTAAAAGAAGCACCTTTCCGAGTACTTTAAAATTATAATTCTTGAAAAAAACTAAATTACAAATTGATAAATGTAATCCAATTGTTTAAAAATAAAAAAAAGTGTTAACTTTAAAAATTTACTGTGGCCTCCTAATAAACCGATTTCAATTTTTCAAAAACCACTTGAAAGGTTGAGCGGTCTGTTCTATGTGAAACAATTTTCAAGTATCTAGATGCTTTATTTGAGGCTGTGCAACATTTTGAAATTTCGAAAATTTTTTTCAAAATTAAAAAAAATATATATTTTGCGAAAACCATATAACCGATTTTAACGAAATTTGGTCTGTTGATTTATAAAATGTTCCGGACCTCGCTCAGATCTAGGGATCTACACTTTTATTATGTGAGTTGTACTGAAGGTATTCCAGTAAAAATTAGCTTGCCCCCTCTTACATCCAAGAAGTGGGATATTTCGACAGATCCGCCCTGGTGTAATTGTATTTTTTATATTTTTTGTTTGATATCTGTAGGCATGATAAAACGAAAGCTATTGCTATGACCTGTAATCTGTATGTACACTCGACGCACGATAAAGGTTTCCAAACTAAAAGGCATACTACTTTTAAAGCGGCGATCCTGTAGACTATTAATAGGAATTTTGGGAGGCGTGTCATATTTTTTTTGTGTAGGCACGTGTGTAACGACACATAACAAAAAAATTGCAGGCCTGAAGTATATGCATTATAAAAAGAGAAGAGTATACAGGTTTTGAAATAATTTTGTCTTGCCACATTATTTTTCTTGTCCCTGAGAAAATTAATATGTTGAAATAAGAATTTGTGTCATATTCTGCAGAAAGTAGGTAGGTAGGTCATGAAGGCAACAAAATAAAAAAATATTGTAAACTACAGTTTTATTATAACTTATACAGTTTCGGGAGGAAAGGGAAATATTTTAAGGACGTGTTCTGGAAGTGAAAATAATTAAATAAGTTCATGACATTATGGGTCCGGAAATGTTTCCTTTCTGAGATAGATGTCGAAAGAAATTTAAAATCCGGATTTTTCTAAATATCTCGAAAACGATTTAAGATATTACACTGCTACTATACTATACACCAAAGCTCAGTGTAATATCTTAAATCGTTTTCAAAATATTTAGAAAAACAGGATTTTTTTAAATTTTACATCTATCAGAAAGGAAGCATTTCCGGGCCCATAATGTTATGAACTTATTTACTTATTTTGACATCATTTTATAAACAATGAAAAAACAAAACGAGTTATCACGGAAATATTATTTTTGGGGGTGAACATGAGGGTTAGTTTGCATCCGTTTAAGGCTAAAAGAAAAAATATTAGTCGTTATTAATATGTATTTACCTTTTTGAGATTAACAATGGATATTGAGCATACAATAATTTAAAGAAACACACGTTTACTGACGCACGCGCATTGACAATAGCGAACGAATCTATCTTTGTCATAAGCATATGAGTTGTCCACAACTTCGGTACCATGAGTGCGACAAAGCGAACGTGATTTTTTATGATTGTCCTGGCAGTGTCGTAGGAGCTAAATAAAATTCAAAATATAAAAAGGTAAATAAATTTGTATCTGTCTAAAAAACAAACGTAAAAAAATTCAAAGGCAACTTTTCATTATTTTAAATAATCAATCGAATAGTATAGAAAAAAATTGTTTAGTTTTGTTACATCATTAAAATTAACGATAAATAATTTGAAATTGTTATAACTTTCGTATTAAAAATTAAAAATTATATCTATTTCTCTGAAAAGAAAGTTTACATTTTTTAGAGTAGATTGAAAAAAAAATTACAAAATTCATTCATTTTTCTGCTTGTTATGATTTTTTAAATTTCTGAAATCTTCTCTTAACTTCTCGCCTCCCTAACTCTGTTAATTTTAATAGTACAAGAAAAAGTCAAGAGGCCATTTTTAAGTAGAATTGTATGCTTTACAACTTCTATAAGAAATTCAACAGATTTAATTGCGGGCACCTATACAGTGTTCATTAATGGCGTACAGAAAAACCAGGGGCCCATTCTGTGGCAAAAATTAAATAAATTTTGTTGCATACATGTGGGCTCTTAAGGCCTCCGTTTCCGAGCTGCAGGGTTTTCAAAATTAAAAAAAAATAAAATTTTTAATTTTCTTAAATCCATTCAATTTAACTATTCGTAAGTAGGTAGTAGACGTTTCGCAAGATTTATTAACTAGGATGAATCGATTTTTTCTATTGTAATGTAAATGCAACTCTTTTAATAGAAACAAGATCATAAAAAATGCATACGGGGTCCGCTATAAGAGTTTGCCAATTAGTCCCATTTTAAAAATGCCAATCTACCAGGAAAGCATTTTTGTACAAAACCCATAAAATGTCAGATGTGACGGTAAAATATTGCCACACAAGTTTAATGGGAACGCCCCATATAGAGAAGCGGTTAAACTGTTATGTTTCAAACAAAATACGATTCAGATTGGAAACCTTTATCTTGCGTCGAGTGTACATGGTGTTTCAAATTCCTGTCTCGGAAACTGTCAAAAATAAACTTGTGGGTAATTTAAAATGTCACATATGCTGTAAACAATTTTTAAAATGTTATTGAAAATTAGTACCTAAAAGCTAAAAGCACACATTCAGAAAAGCACAAAAACAAGAGTAAACCTATAAACGTTTATTGTTGCTTTGGTTTACTGTGACAACGTTATGTTTTTTGTTTCCAAAGCCTGCTAGAAGCTTCTTGTTGTGCAAGACAAAAATTCAAAGAAAGTTTCATATTATCTATTTACAAAAACAAATTGTATGCTCTTTAAAAAATGTGGCGATAATGAAAGAAAGAAACTGAAAAAATTGTTTATCCACAAAATAAATGGAAACGGAGACAGTTTGCCACTTGAATGATCAAATTTATATTTTTAGCTCCTCTAAAATCTTACTCATTTTGAACGTCTTATACAGTGTTTCAAAAAGATGTTGCCAAACTTGAGGGACATTGTGGTAGAAAATTTTTGCATATAACCCCGCCCCCCTAGTCGGAACTGAGCCGTTTTAGCTCTGAAGCAATTTTTGTACAAAACCGTAATGTTATCTCGTTGACACCAAAAGACTTCAATATTTAAGTAATTTTTATTAAGGATAACGCAAAAAATTATTCGAAACAAAATAAATACATTTATCTTTTCTGATAAGTGTTTACCAACTATATGTCCTACACACACGATATTGGTAAAAATTGATTTTATCCACAACTGATTGATAAACGCTTTATTGCACGTATCTAATATAGCCATGCAATGTCATTTGTGTCACTCTGGGAGGAATAGTAAAACAAATCAACAGAGTTATGACATAATAAATGATCGGATCTAATTGAGTGTTTCCCGTTTGTTTTTTTTTTTGCGACGAAATTTTGCTTTTAAGTTGTTGAAATGGACCAATTTATGTTCGAAGAGTATCCAGACATGCATCTTATTTATGGCGTAGCAAGATGCAAAGCTAGAGAAGCTGAGCGCTTTCCGAATCGCCGATATCCTTGCCTAACATTTCTTCAATGCATCGTCGGTTAAGAGAAAAAGGCAACTTTAAACCAGATGTAGGAAGTTGTACGAACTGGTAGGGACAGTGTTCATTCAGGAAGATGTTTTGCATCGAACTAAAAAACTACCTACCATAAGCCATTTTGAACAATTATTATGAATTTATTATTTTTGCGTTATTCTTAATAAAAATTACTTACATATCAAAGCCTTTTGAGGTCAACGTAATAATATTACGTTTTTAGACAAAAATTGCTTCAGGTACAAATCGGCTTATTTCCGACAAAAATTTTCACCATTTTGAAACATCCTGTATTTCCCATTTAAGCGTGTAATGTTATAACTCGCTGCTGGGATTGGTAACAGTATTTGAAAAGGACAGCACCTTGCAAATCGAATATATCTACATACATATTAGACTAGGCGGTATCTGTTTTGGTTTGGGTGAATCGTATATCCACGGAGATTTTTGGCTTTTTGGCTTTCAAATATCACTAGAAATGAAAATTTTTCTATGCGCATAAAAAAAACGTGGGCTTAACTTTTGGCGGCACAATATGTTAAAAAAATTCGAAAAAT